ACACTTAGTGAACGTATACGCATGTAGATCGATGCATTTTAGTCTCTGATGTGTCGCCATATTCGGTGCATACACGCTGTGTCATGAATAGTGATGGGTTCAAGTGCGCCGCAAGTAGCTTCGAACATCGATCGATCAGATTCAAACCATTTGTAAATATTTCGAAGAAAAGAAGAAATAGTGCTTCGAAGTAGACTTAAACCTAGACGCGACACATTCGAATCCTCTATGGTGTACTTGGAGAAATAAAAGTATTTCCAAGTAGAATCAAAGACTGGTGGAATAAATTCGCAACTTTATAAGCACCCAACCAGAAATTCTTCATTCTCTTAACCCTTTGAACTACTAATTTTCTAAAAAGTTCCTTTTCGTTTCTAAGAAAGAAAAATTGCGAAATGTAATACATATTTAAACTGGCAATTTAAAAATGCCGAGTGTGACTCCATATAGAAGTACTTGTGAATAAAGTTGATGTCGAGTCACACTCGACAAAGGAGTTCAAAGGGTTAAAATCATTTTTCTTGGCTACCGTTTTAAAACCTACTATTGTACTTTTCATGCAGAATCTAATTGTACGCTAATATTTCATATTTTCACATGTTTAATGAAACAGAAATAGTCTTTCTGCTACTCGTGATTAGTACATGTAAGAGGATCGATTTATTTTAATATCGAAGTACTTGTAACTAAATTTTTGAAACTTGCGAGTACTTGTTCTTTGTTGAATTCTTTCCAAGTACAACGAATGAACGTTATACTTTATGAATAGTATTCGAACCCTATGAAGTGAATCTTGGCTATTGGATTTGATTCAGATTTATACGTAGATATTGAACTTGACCCCCCATCACTAGTCATGAGTATCACAGAATGAATCGAAACACTTTTTATACTTCCCGGTGAATTTTTAAGAAGTCAGATTGTTAAGAATCGTATTAACCCTTTCACATGCAAATACAATGAAACTCGGTGCGTTCAAAAAATATTATTTAATATATCTCAACTTAACAACTATGTAATTTCCATAAAAAAAAAAAAAAAATTTACATTACTAAATATTACGAGACAATATTAATAACAAATAAAACAATACTTTAACAGCCCAGTTTAAAATATGAAACTTTTCGAAACATTCTGGTTTCTCTTTGCAGGATGCAACAGATTTTCAAATCCGATTTTCTCAAAAACTAAGTTTCGTGGGAACAAATTTTATTTCACATTTATTTTTGCATAAAGAATCACCTACTGTCCGCTTGTATTGTACTTTCGGCAGCACATATTCGCTCAGGAGAATTAAAAGTGTATGAAGTATTTTCTTAACTATTATTATGGTCAAATAACGATTATCTCTCCGTCGATATTTCAACTGAAAAAAGGACGAATCAATTTCGTAATAATGGAAACTATCAATGGCTTATTACAATTTGTGCTGAGGTAATGTTTGCACAGAGTAGTATAATGAAGATGACATATATAATCACAAGGTACGTTGACCTCCTACAATCTAATATTCAACAATGCTAGAATAAAGTACAATTGAACACAGCCCTATTAACTCATACGAGTAGTTTCCCCTTGATTAATCCCACATTGTATTTACCTTATGACTCGAAAAATTAACGCGCAACGAAGGAAATTTAGATTTATATGCAGCGTTTATTTGTAATTTGAACAAAATTTCACATTAATCTCGATAAAATTGGATTTATGTTAACAGGTAGGTTAATTAGAAAGGATTTGAACAAGGTGTAAATGTCGAGTCACAGGCTTTAATAGGATGTAATAAGTAAATAACGGATTTATTCGTCTCCAATACTTTGTCCTGACATAAATAGCCCGTTAAACAAACTATTAATCATTACGGTTTACTTATAACTCATTTCACGAACAAAACAACAAACTATCCGGTATTTGTACCCGGGAAACTGATACCAAGCCTTTGCAGTAGTTTTCCCATTTCGCTTCACATCAGCTAGCTGGACTAATAAGAACTAGCTAATAGAATACCCTGCAATAAATGCATAAATAATAGTTTGTAATATGTCATAGTAAATATTGTATAGCAGAGCTCTCTCAAGAAAATCCCTAACAATAAGACAGCAACTTTGATAGCAATTCTGAGCAACAGAATGTAATTAAAAATGTGTTGTTAACTTGATAGAGTTGAAAATGGGTATTTTATCATACTACATTTTAAAGAAAGAATTTTTATTAATTACTTAAAAAATTAATACTAAATTAAATTTATCTGCGGAAATTTATGTGAAATTAGAAATTATTTGATATCGAATCAGCAGTTTACTTTCACAATTGGGAAATTGTATTCGAATTCGAAAAATTCCGCCATAAAACGCGTTGCACACAGTTTGCAATAAAAAATTTCTATAAAGAAAATCATTTCAACGTTTTCTCAAAAATGAAAAATGCATTTTACATGTTTGACAATGTGTTTAGCTTAAAAACGTTGTGAACATTGTTTTGATCTCGTAGAATCCTCCCTCGAGTGGTACTCAAGGAGCCTGAAAAGCTCGTATACTGAGAGCTGTTCCCTCGTCCCTTTTGTATTAAATTTTAGATTTGATTCCGACGATTCGAGACACGTGTTATACATTGCTTGTATTTTTTTTAATTGCTATTTAATTACCCTTAACTATTAGGTTATTACAGCTAATTATATTTCTTTGGAAGAAAAAGATTGCTACCGGAGGTACTACAAATTAGTAGTAAGTGAAACGAAAGCTGGATCAACGGTGACACGTTGCACGTGAAATGCATTTAAAACAGGCAATGGTTTAATAAATATAAGGAAAAAGTAGCCTGTCTGAGAGAAAGCGTAGCAAAAGTTGTTGACGAGTTACGTGTTATGCATGAATAAATCATATTATTGTTGCACTTGTAAAAGCTTCTTAAATACACGTAAAAGTATTTAACGAAGTTCTTGCTTCGAAGAAAATTTAGAATACATAATTTAATCTGTGCCAGATAATTTTACATTTTCGTCTGCTTCGTTGTACTACTAACTACGTGTATTTAGATTCAAATATCCCACATTAGATATTGTCAAACAATTCAAACTGTTAGAAGCTTTGATCGGTGAATAGTGCATTCCTTTAACTAATTTTATAAAATATATTATACATTATATATACATTACATACATCTAATATATTACACATTCGTTATCGCATAAAACAGGCCGCCTAATTATCTTCTCTCTGCCTATGGTGGTACGAGACAATTTTTATACGCAATTTAAATGGTCACAAAGGGTGAATAAGATGGAAGAAAAATTTATTTACAAATACCACTTTTTTCTGTTTCTTTTTTTTACAGGAATGTATATATTTTGTTCTACTGTATGTTATAACAGACATTAATCATAATATGACCTTAGACTTAAAAATTTTCTTGTTATGTCTTGACTTGTTATGTCTTCCATCGACAAATTTTTCTTCTCTCTTATTCGCTCTCTGAAACCATTTAAATTACGCACAGACATTTTCTTGCACCGCCATAGCTGGAGGAGGTAATTAGGTAGCCTGTTTTACGTGAGCCACCCTGCGTAAATGCAATGGTTAAGCTGAAGAATAAAGGGTAGTTCGTTCCTTCCAAGTGTCTGCTAATATAAGACAAAAATTACGATAGAAATTCACTGAACACGTGAACTAATGGATTCACAATGAACGATTTGGTTAAGGTACAAAGCAAACGGTTGAAACTATACCTCGCTAGATGAATATTCCTGCTTGGAGAGCAACGAATCTCAGATTCGTAGAACTAAAAGGATGCACGAGGTGAAAGAAACTGCATTTAAAGACTTCTTTGATTTTCCTGCTCACAATGAAACATTTGATGGTGTTATTTGAAGCTGTCAAACCGAACCCCCCCTTCGTGCATCGATAAACTAACAGAGCAAGGTTTATCCGAAAATATTCACGACAAACAATCTAAATTTAGGGAACGAAGAAGTTTCGATAAACGTCGAATTTCCGCCATAAAACGCTTTTAGCTTTTTAAACGACGAATGCACTATTCGCACCATTGAAAGTAATCATACGAATGATTCTAGGAAAAAGTAGAAAAATATTATTTTGTTTATAGTTCGTAGAGTTGCTTAAAAATAATTAAATTTTTTCCATTGAAAAATTTCGCATATTATTTTTCACTGTATTTATATAAGATATTCCATTCATTTTTTTAAATATCTGTTATTTGACTATACTTTAAATGCTTGAAATTATTGCATTTATTTAATACAACTTTTACTGGCAATATGGGCCACTGAAGGAGCAAATAAAGTTTTTCACACGATATTTAATATTTATACAACGTCCTTAAGCTGCAATAGAGCAAATTAATAAATTACATAAAAAATTCTGTTTTACAATTTTGGTCAATTTTTTAATAAATAATTTCATTTTATTATAGATTACCTTCCATTTTACAAATATATTAATAACATTGTTCTTACTATTAGTCTCATTTTACTCCACTTAATTATCTCAAAAGGCACTCAAATGCATGAGTGTGCATTATCTAAGAATGACGTCACATCACCACCACCCAAAACAAAGTAAAATCATTTCAATACCTCTTGCGAATATAAATTTGAAACTTCCCTTATTTTAAACTACATATGAATCATCATTATTGCACATGTTACAATTCCTATAATTTTCCTACTTAATCTCTCTGCAGTATTGAATCATAACTCGTGACGTAAGTTGCGATTCAAACGTAACAAATACCAAGTGTTCTTACAAATACATAACTTACACATATTAAAACAAAATATTAACATATTCAAACAGTGAAACGAGTCTTTATCCCTGAAGTCGTCGTTAGTCATCGTTACAAACCGAAAAAAAAAGAAAAATAAACGAACTCGAATGGTCAAAAGAAATCAGAAACAAAATTCAGTCCCGAAAGTTCCCTTTCTTTTTTCTTCCTCTATTTCATTCGCCGTATTCGTTTCAGACCAATCATCAGTGAATACTCACTTTCGAAACGGGCTGTAAATGCTACCCCAGACACTGGCTCTTGTCGGCGAGGGTGGGCTATTTTGATGTTGATTGGAATATCCGTAACCGGCGAAAAACATATTGCAGTAATTGTTCCTCATCGGTGTGGCACACGATAAATACAACTTGCCTTACAAAATGAAAAAAAGTCTTCAGGCAGAAAGAGGACAGTGAAACACGCGTGTATGTATGTATATATAAAACGAAGATACAAATAAAACTATAACAATAACAGTAACAAGAAGAAGAAGAACAACAACAATAGCAAATAGTCTTATGATAATACTAGTAACTTGTACTTTCAATGAACCGCTTTGGCACGTTTTATTTGGCACAGAGTGTCAATGTACTCGAACTCTCAGGCGAGCATATCAGCGTGTAGTGGTATATACGTAATCGACACACTGCTGAAAGTCCCTTCGTATCAGTCTTCTTAAAAAATGAACATCGAAAAACCACCCTTTTCGACCGATTTTACTCGTGCACAGTTCAATACCGTGACCTATTGGACACAGGTTACACTGGAGAGAAAAAAAAATTCCACGAAAAAATCTGTTTCCAGAGCGAAACTGTGTTACCACGGACCGACCTATATAGTTCTGGACCGATCAATGCGAAGATAATTCTCGCTCCAGACGACACACCAAACGATTCACACACTGTGTCCTAATGTACATTCTTTCACTTGGAAGTAAACGTTCGAATTTCCTTCACCCTTCGATAATCTGTTCGATATACGTCCGAACTCCCGGGAGGATAATATAATAAGAGAAAAAGTGACGTATAAACACAGTCTAGCATACGTTTCAGTCCAGAAAACAACACTCTGTCACTGAATCAGCAGTTTGTACTTTAGCACGGTCCTTTTCGAGAAGAGTAACAGTAGCTTCCTAGCAGGTCGTCTATCTTCTTCCATCGTGTTGACGAGCAAATCTTTCTCGCACGTCGCCGAAATCGAGACCAAACTATTAACTGAAAGGATCTCACAGACGTGTTCCACCGCGCGTCGATGGAAGTTCGAAATGCTTCGCACGTCCACTCAACCGTTTACATTTATCGATAACGAACAGCGTGTGTACTTTCAGCGGAACGAAACGAAGACACTATCCCAGTATCTGGATACTGCACACGACCCACGAAACTTCTTACTCTGGCGACAGATTGAACGCAACTGAAGGCAGGCGGCGACACAGCCCGTGTTCGGATTGAGGGGAAGCACGAGCGGAGGGTTTAAGGTCGGAAGATTTGCTCGGAGAGTAGCAGAGGCCAACACATGGACCCCATACGAACAGACCCAACGGGGGCGGCGGAGGGAATCGGTTGAACAGAGATACAGTAGTCGAGCAGACGGAGGGAGAGGGAAGGAGAGAAAGAGAGAGTGAAACGACAAAAACAGACAGACGCAGGGTTGTAGAGGCGCAACGCGGTGTGCAACGGTCAAACACAGTGTCTCTCAATTAATAGTCGATGGGAGACGATGATGAGCAGTTCGAATTGACCATCAATTTGATCATCCGTATATTGTGTGTAATGGGTATTGAATTGGACAATTTTTTTGCCAATATTAAGGGTGCACGTAAATAGGAGATTTAATTATTAAACGATTGTGAAAGCAGTTTCTTTTTTTTGGTTTGATAATGCAAATTGTGCACTGCAAGGTTTCAGAAAGATTTTTTTGGGTACGTGATGATAATGTAATTTGATTGAAAATTAGAAAAACGTATCCTATGAATAATTGGAATAAGGGAAACATGAGACATGTATTATAATAAAGACTATACATATAATACAAATGGTATAAGACAATTTCAATCAATTGTAACTAATATATTTTGAATATAATGGGAAAACATAAAATAATATGAAATAATCATTTAAATATGTTAGAAAAATTAAGCAAAAGTCTTTCTAAAATGAAAAGATTCGGTCTGTTTAGTATAAGCGCTCTTTTCACGAATGGCTTAATATACATATACAATATATTGAAATTTTTATTAGGTAATATCTGAAGTTTTTTACACCATGCACGGCTTTATACTGTTTTTGTTGACATATTCTTGTCTATATTTTATCACATCGATCATTTTCTAAATACGTAATGAGACTGAGAAGAATTTACAAATGGTGTTCTATTAAAGATTATTGTCAGAAGCAAATTTTCAGTTTTTCCAATATTTTTATTTTATTAAGAAAAATAGCAAAATTTCTAAATTCTAAATGTAGTTACATGTTTCTTTGCGTGTAAAGTATAGTAGACCCCTGTATAACACGGTACTTAAGTTTACATTTTTACAGTGGAGCAAAGTTCCCGTAATTGATGGTACATTATATTATATAGTAATTGTTTTATGATGTAGATACTGTAAGGAACTAATTAGGTTTATCGCTGTAATAATGAAATATAGGACCACAGGTCTTCTAGCGAAACTATTGCAAGAATAAAAATTATAAAATAAACGAGAATAAAATGTTAATGACTCATGACAGTAACTGATATTTTTACTTCAAGAAAAATATATAACGACGAAACATTTTCAAATTTAATATTTGTTTATTTTAAAGTGAAACAACAAATATTTTATTGGTACATTTTATATATTTAGTTTACATTTTGTATAATAAAAATCCTTACATCTTTTATAAATGTGTGTTCCTAAATCCGTATTTGTATAATCTATGTAACTCTGGGTATTCCCCGTATTATGCGGAGGTCTGTTGTGTAGTATACTTTACATAAATCAGCTTAGCACGTACATATGTACTTTCACCGAATAAAGAATATTCCATACTACTTAAATTTATTAATTAATTTTCATTTACTTGAGAAATTAACTGTTAAATAAATTCAATAGGAATTGAGTTCTTTAGCTGCGTTAAACTTTTTACCAAACTGAATCGAATATTACTACTGTCATTATAAAAAAGGAAACTATTAAAGGGCGTATCGTCTGAATGGAAAAAATTTCGTGAATTTCTGACGTGTAAGGTAACTATAGATTGCATACCAGGTATTGCTTACTTTATCTATTCGTCGTTTTATGATTCTACGTTCCTGATAAAGACTCATCCTGTGCACGAATGATTCGTAAAAATGTAATTTCCTTCGTACAATTAATGAATGCGAAATATAAGACCGGTAAATGAATATGAAAAACCAGTATTACTGTTTTTATACTAAAGAAACAACAAATTTTATATTACAAGGAATTAAAATAATAATATAAACTGAAATTTTAGTGCACGTTTGTTATTTACAGAAAAAATAGAATATTGTAAGTAAATTTGATAACTATGCTTGATAATCTAGCATTTCTTTGCTTTATTTATCAAATAAATGACAAATTGCATTTATAATTTATAAAAACATAAAAAAGATTTGAGAACCACTAAAGTGAAGAGTGACCTCCAACCCTGACAGTAAGATAGCCATTGTTTAAATAAACAGAGAATGAATTCAATGTTTATTATATATGACATGAAGGAAGCACAGTTGATTAATTCAATGTAGTTTTAATAATTCTTTTTTCTACTCTGCATATGTATCATAATGTAATATAGAAAATAAATTAAATTTAATGTATCTAACAGACATTGCATTATAAATATTAAACTAGTAGATGATAAATCTTAAATAATTTAAACATTCTGTTCTTTCAAAAATTTGTCAAAAATAATATATTGTCACAATTTCGGAACTCCACTTTATATAAATCTGTGTAATTGATTAAATATCAAGTATAAAATACTAAAATATCTTTGAATATTTTAATTTTTAATTAAAACTCATTTGTTCACCTTTCTGTTCACCTTAAGTTGACTTTTATAACTATTTTGACTTTATTACTGTATTTCAAATATTTAGTCACGGAAAATAAGAATCTAATGAAATAATATTAAGTTACAACATAATACTGCAGGCAGTCTTTAAAGCTATAGTAACCACAGATAATAATATTCAATATATAATGCAGTGAACCCACATAATGGTTAATAGTATTAACAATTAAAGTTATTTCGATAATGTATATACAATTAAAGTAAATAATAACAACAATTAAACCTACACTATTATTAAATACTTCAACATTTACTTCTAACCTTAAAATTTAATCTTGAAAAATTTTATATAAATGCATATATAATTTCTGGGGTATAACATCTTGTATGGAAAAAGAACATAAATTAAAAAAAAAAAATATCTACAAATTCACAACGAGAAAAATTAATTACTACGATATAACAGGAATTTGTTTATTGATTGAAAGATTCGTGGAAATTGTCGGTAAATAGATTCCCTACTATTTACAACACATTGAACATACTAATAGTTCCAAAAATATTCCTATATATGTAAATTGCAAGATGCACATAAATTGTAAAAACAGGCATCGTCGTTTTCGCATTTCTTTTTTAAAAAACGTTAAAAGTTATTATAAACTGTTTTATTAAAGTTACGTATTATATAAAGTACTCAAGAAATATACATGAATACAATACTCTCTTTTAAAATATATAACAATTATAATAACAGCATGATTACAATTTCGTTCGAACTAGTAAAGAATGAAAAGAGGACAACGCTGGTATGAAAAAATTCCCTCTGCTTTGAGATACAAAACTGACATAGCACGATGTATGAAATTTCAAAAATTTACTTACGTATCAAAATAATTTGTTGCAGCAACTGTATCATCCATGAAATTCTCCATTTTTTATGTAATTTCACACCACGCATTACCAAAAAAACATGTGAAAAATCGGAACCCATATGCACTCCAAACCGTCAAATTTGAAAACACTAACTCCCAATGTTTCCGCTGCACGCGCTATGCACACTGCATTTATTTACTGTGTCTGTTCTACCAACGTTAAATTTTTTTCTCTATCTGAGGAACAAAATATTCCTAGCATATCGATAATTTCATTGGTTGTCAAGTATATTAAGAATAAATCACAGTAAAATGCTGTTGAGTAAAACGATGACGACATTATGTAATTATCTCTGCATACAAAACGTTAAAAAGTGTTACGTCTATTTAGTATGTAGTTCTCGTTCTTTTTTAATTGAACTTCGAACGTATTGAGCGATTTTTAAATGTTACGTGATAATATTCTTTTACACTGTTAATACTTTCGTCCACGCATAGAATATTGTAATTTGGTCAATCGCATTTCGCGCTGTACATGTTGTGTTAATTTTCTGAAATAGAGGACACTACCTATACATATATTTAACTTCAAAACCAATGACTACTTAAGTGACTGGACAGTATGGCAGCATCTGCCTTTAATATAGCAGTTAAGTGTGTGTAAAGTTTCTGTTAATCACGTATATTAATGATTTAAACATGACTCAGTAAGACCGAATTGCGGTGTGTATCAGTAAAGAATGAATTTTTGGCACGATACATTTTTACTTCCTTGTCTTTAATATTGTCCCGGTAAACGGGCACAGAGTCAGCATAACATTGACAATTGACAGGTACTAGTTGTCATTTTCTGCTCGTCCCATTGGAGGTTATCACACCATGTTTGCAACGCTAAAGAATAAAATACGAGAGGAAATAGGGAGTGACGTGTCGACTGTCGTTAGAAATGCCGGCAATGTGCGTAGTATTAACTCAAGGCATATGTCTCAGGTAAACATATCGTTTCTATGTGTGCAATTGTTATCAGTGTCAGAGCGATATTGCGTTTGCAACGTAGGATACATTTATTTATACGCAGTCATTAATTTTTTATGGTTATTTTAAATTATAGTTAATTACCGAAGGAACTGACAGTGTTTTTAATTAAATATTGCTTATTATTTCTACACATGTTTGCCAGATGATTCATTAATATTACATGTGTGTGTCATCCGATTTTGTATAATTGCAAGACTTGTCAGAGCATCTGTTAACATAATTAATGCAGCTTGCTGTAGTTGCCCTATTTCATACTTACTTTTGTTATTTTTGTACAGTTTAAAAAAGTATGTGTTTTAGACCAATTTATAGAATACCAAATATTTGAAATAGAATTTTTATAAATTTATGTTCATAATATAGTGATTAATATAGACTACTGTTGTAGTCATGTAAAAAAAAATGTATTTTTTTAGACGGGATCTACAAGTAGCATTAGTGGATCTCAAATTTCTTTAGATGGTTCACGTGAAGAAAATATAGCCTCACCTACTCCACCTACTTCTTTAAAAAAGGATAATAGCTTTGATTTTAAATTAAACGACGGTATGCAACTTTCTGCTAAAGATATAAAAAGATTTGAAAACAGAGAAGATGAATGGCGAAAAAGATTAATTAAAAAAGAAACAGAATTGCTAAAACGGTTGGAAAAAAAAGAAGAAGAATGGAAAGTAAGACTTTGTGAGACAGAGAAAGAATGGAAAAAAGTAGTTGAAAAACAAGAGAAAGAAAAGAGCAAATTAGAAGAAGAATTAAGGAATGTAGAAAGTGCAAAATATTCATTAGAATTAGATCTTAAAGATGCAGAAGGTATGTTTTTTAAGTATAATGTGATAGAAATTAAAAGAACAAAATAATGTTAGTTATTATATTAACATCATACTTATTTATATATTATACATTTTAATCAAAAGATCATTTCTAGATTTATGTTCATAATACCATGTTTCAGAATACAAGAAGAAATTATATAGTTTTCAAGAAGATGCAGAACAATTAGAAGGATTTCAAACTCAAGAAATGGCAAAGATAAAACACCTAGTATGTTTTCTATATATTGTTTTATGCTTTTAAAAAAGATATTGTAAGGGAGTATTAAGAAGTTCTCCAACTAACTCTATAAAAAATGACAGACTAACAGACTAGCTGGAGATTTTAGTGGCCACCATTACCATTGCATCAACTTAGATGAGAACTAATTTGAGAGTGATGGTGGCCACTAAAATCTCAGGCAGGTCTGCTACTTTTTATAAGGCCAATTTGATACTGCTTCATATTACCTATTGATTTATTATATAGTGTGTATCTTTTTTTTTTAATGAAGCTTCTGGCAAAGGAACAAGAAGTAGAAGAGAAAACACACCATTTGAAAGCAGCTACTACAGAAATTGAAAGTTTAAAAAGTGAAGTCTCTCGTCTTAGGAGATACGAAGATGAATTGAATAATGTACAGGTGAGTACATTATCTTAGTTGCTTTGTTCAATTTTAATTATCACATGCAATAAGATATGACTACAGAATTATATTAACATAATTATTTAACATAATTGTGTTAATATAAATTGCTTGACATCATTTGAGTAAGTAAACATGGAGTACATTTTAATTTTAATTTAAATATATTTACATAAATCTTTTATTTTCAAATCTATTTTAAATTTTGTACAATGTGGCACTGGAAGATATTTTATGTAGAAGATTTAAAAAAAATGATATATATGATATATTTGTATATATATATATACACAATATACAATATATATATATGTATACATACATATACATAAATACTAGTTTACATGTATATGTTCTATAATATTTACATTTAGGTATACTCTTTATGTATTTACGAAATATATCACAATTATGCAGAGTTTTACAATTTATAGTTTAACCCCTTAACGCGCATTTTAAAAAAAAATCGTCAAAAAATGTCGGCTTTTTTTTATCTATGGAAATCTTTATTTGAACATAGTTTTGTTTAATACTTACACTTATTGGGGCAAAATTTAAATATTTAATCAGAAACATTAATTTTACTTCTTCAATTTATTGTATGTACGTAAAATGTAGGCACAATAACTATAATAGTTTTAAACATCAAAAAATTTTCTTTTGTGTGATAAATTTCAAAACAAGGTTCAACACATAATCCAACATTACAAGAATTACAACAGTAACGAGATTCTTTTCTTCTTCTTTTTCCTTTACTGTCTCGTATTCAGTATACCGCGTAGTCTCTTGTTACAAAAATTAGGTTAAATTATGCAAATACTACAATAATAATTCTTTTTTTTTATATAATAATGACTTTCTTGAGATTATTTTTCATCGCTCGAGTTTATTCAAGTATATATATTATGGTAACATAAAATGCGACGCTGCTTGCTCGAGTTAACTCGAGTGTGCATATTATTGTCATTAACGTCCACTCGAATTAATTCGAGTGTGCGCGTTAAAGGGTTAAGGAAAAGTGAATTATTCTTTGAGTAGTATAACTTACTATATTGATTATATCTATCATAATTAATATATTCCACGAAATAAGAGGAATATACTGTATAATGTTATTACCATTAAAATATCTATTATGATTAATTAATTTTTAATGTCAGCATTTATATTATTAAGGAATCTTAGTATACAGAAATTTTTAATGCAGTAATATAACAGGATAAAATGAAAAAATTATTTATGACAAATGTTAATATATAGACTTATACATATTTCATTTAAATTTATTGTCATAAGTGTTATTGTTTCTAATAAAAGCAAACTACTTCCTACTTTAGATGAATTAATTTATAATGTATCCAAGTAAGATTACTTTAATTTAAGAAGAAATATTGAATATTGTTTTATCATAAATACAGACCAATTTTTAGAAACTAAGTTTTCTTGTATTGTGTATTGTGTTATAAATTCATTTATAGTACAAACTATTGTTTTAATCAAAAAGCATAGAGCTGCATGTGAAAATCAAATTTTGTTATATCTATCATAATGTTTTCAAGAAGTTATTTATCTTTGTAATACTGATTATGTATCATATTGTCTTTTGAAATTTATAACCATATACATATTTTTTAGGTATAAGCACGCTTTTTTTCAAAATTACTTTTGTTTTTAAGCCTTTCTTTATTTTTTTTTATTTTTTTATTTTTTTATACATAAATTTTTGTTTTGTCACGGTTGGCCATATTTTTTTCTGCACATTTTTTTGTATTGACACACAATACCAATCTATGATAAACATGTGACTTGAAATTAAAAGTCCTAATTATTTAATTATTTCGAATATTTTGGATATATATTAAAATGAAAAAAATGAGCATATGTTCCATAACTTTTACTTGTACTCTGAAAATGCACTTCCAATATTTAGTAGGAAGTATTAGCTTCCATTTTATTAAAATTTAGTTTGGGGAAGGGTAGGCATTTTATCGAGTACGAACAAATTGTGAAAGAACAATATTCTTTTATTGGTTATGGAACATGAGCAAAACCTAAGTGATACTGAAAGTTTTGTGAAAACAACATACGCATGAAGATTGGAAAACTTTGATAAACGAGAGCATTGGAGATCAGAGTAGGCGGTATTTTCCGCTAATTCGCTGCTGCTACCGCTGATGCTAGAGGTACGTCTTCAAAGCTTTGCTGCTATTCTGCGACATAAATAACGTCTATAGATTTTACTTACATCAGTGTTGCTCTGTATGTAATTCTCTCCTTGGTGCAAAATTTTATAACATAAGAGAAATGCATGCATTAATTAGTGGAAGAGATATAACAATAAAAAAAACTTTTTTCATTCTATAATAATAAAATTTCATTCAAAATGTTTAAACTGTTTCTACTGCAGTACTCACACTCCAATGTTGTTACTCTCGTAACAGCGTTGAATAATTATCTTAAATAATAAAACAATGTCTTTTGTCAAATTAAGTTTTGTCATATTCAGTTTTAATGGAAAGAGTCATTGGGTTTTCTACAAAAAAATTGGTCCAACACTTTATTTCTGCTTCATAAATTTCTTTTTTCATTTTGTTCACTTTCAACATTATTGTCATTAATCGCCAAATTCATCCTCATTCGCTTATTCTTGGCTTCGTAAGGTTTGGATTATTTCTAATATTATATTTACCTTTATGTATTAGCAATGCTTTGGTAAGGTTTGCAACAAAGCTTTACAGAGCAAAATGTAATAATAATAAAAGAAGAAAAACATTCCTTGTAATAATATCACCCTTTCTAGGATGAAATGGAGACATTACGTCATTCTACTCAACGAGAGAGAGCTCAGCTTTCCTGTCAACTGGCACAAACTGAAGAAGAAGTACGTCACTTAAAGGATAAAGTGTTTGTATTAGAACAAAGAGTTGCTTTAGAGACTAATGATCAGGTGACAGTGGATGAAAGAATAGCTGATCTTATGAGAGAAAGAGCATTACTAGAAAGAAAGTTAGAAGAAGCACATCTTCATTTGTCTGATATAAAGACTAGTTGGTCAGGGAAAATATCTAGTTTGGAAACACAAGTTGGAAGACTTAGTAGACAGGCTGGTGAAGAAGGTTTAGAAAGAAGACGAGTTGAAGAAGAAGGTGAAAAACTGAAGCAAAGGATCAAGGAGCTAGAAGCTGAAATAGAGGTGAACAATGTTGTTATGGCGACGAAAGACGCCAAGCTTTTGCGCATGGCAGAAGACATCGACGAGATGGTCACGGAACTAAAAGAGCTCCGGGCCAACGTCGATGATGAGGTGGAAGAATTTAAACAACAAATTGTGAGTTACCGCGATATGTAGTGGTGCATGGGCTAGACTGTTTTGAAGAAGATGTCCTGTTAGATCTTGAAATGCAAAAAAGTGAACATTCCCTATCTATCAAATAACAATTCTCAAATGATCACAGCATTAAATAATTGTCTTTCATATTTTTTTAATGATTTTTTTTCTTTAAACATTTTTCTCCGTATTGCCTCAATCATATTACAATATTGATGTAATCACCTGTGTGAAATTACGAAGATTTCTATTTAAACAATATTGTAGTTTTTTTTAAACACGTTCATTAATTCTTCACTTGATATCTGTATAATGAAAAAGAAGAACTTGATATTTCAATCTTAAGTAGATGTGAATTTTATTTGCGAATTAATTAACTGTGATCATGATAAAATGTGTTTATTTTTTAGTTCATCAGAGCTGTTTAAACAATCACGTGTTGATGATTTTATAAACTTGTAAATGTTTATAATGTTATACTGTGAGTGTAAAACACTGAAGCGCGTATACACGAACGCGTAGAAAAATCGTATGTTAATTTGTAAATGAAAACTACATATCGCTTATATGTATATTTGCATGTTATCTCTAAGATGCTTGACGCTTAACGCACAAAACATTTATTTTACGCATATTTTTCAGCACACTCTTTTGTTCATAATGTTTTATTTATCTTTACGAGCATGCAGAGACTTACAATGTACATTATACTTTATCGAGATCAGCATCAAATAATAAATAAGATGAGTTTGGTCAACTTTTTAAATTCCTACATTTCCTCTTCGCGTTTCTTTGTACATGAAAGTTAGGTAGTATCGATATAATAATATTTTTATGTACAATCGTTATTCTGTATATTTTATTTGTGGAATAAAGAAGAAAACAAATAAATTACATCATTTATCGGATTCGTTTTTGTGCTTGTTTTTAACCCATTTTTATATCCTCCTTTTTCAAACGGCTTTTTATATATTATTATAGACACGAATGTGTACACAATTGTTTTTTTACAGGATTAACAAATCATGTTATATTTTGCTACACCAACGACACAGTCTAATTACGTTTACGTTGCTGTAAATATTAGGAATGCATATCCAGGCGGATTCAATTGAAGGAAAACGTATCGTATATTATATAGAATAGAAGATAGAATGGTTATTCCTAATAATAGCATTGAGAACATTGTTGGAAAGTCAAAAGTTGTAATAAAATATTTTTCAAATTAAATTTTATATATACAAATTAAAATTTATTACAGATTTTAACTTTGGAATTAATGGCTCAAATGAAATACCTGGGTTCAAGTTTTGTATAAAATGATTTCATACATGTTCTAAGTTTTTATATATTACCTTCACATAAATTTAATACTCTCATTGTATCATATTTGAAACATTATTTTATGTTTATATTATAGAATCATTTGACAATTTATTCCAAATGCAAAGTTAATTAAATAAAACAATGGCTGTACTTAAATTGATAATGGAATATCTTTTTATATCAAGCTTCACAATGCTTTGCATAAAATATCTTTCCAATATTTATTCATTAAATTAGTATGTAATAAATATTTTTGAACTATTTATTAAGTTAGTTTACAAATTTTTACTATAATTTAAACAATTCTTAAAAACGTATGTAAAATATTTGTTACCTTTTTTAATATTTTTCATTTTTACTCCATGTTAATTTTACAGATACTATGATTAATTTCATAAAGTACTATTCAATATTATTATATTTAACTTTTTCAGCTTTTTATTAATGAACCTCAATTATACCATAAATTCCAAAGATATGGATAATGGAGCAGATTTCATCATATTTATATATTTATCTATACAATTGCCTTGTTTGATGACTTCAATATTAAATACTAATAACATTATTTTGTTCTTTGTTTTCTTATCAGAAATCATCAACAAAGGAAGTCAGCCAGCTGAAAGAAAATTTGGAGGAAGGAACAACAAGACTTTCTGCTGCTACCTCTGAACTAGCTCAAGTTCGTTTGTCTTTAGAAGGAGAACGAATGAACAACTCTTCCTTACACTTAGAAGTAGCACGGTTACGTGAAGATCTTGAATCAGAAAGAACAGCATCAGCAACATTAAAAGTGGGCCTAGAAAAAGAAAGATATGAAAAAGATACAGCATTATTGAGAAACGCTCAAGTCTCTCAGGATATAGAACTTGTAAAGCAGAAAAATCGACGTCATGAAATCGAAAATAAAGAATTACGAAAGAGGATAGAAACTTTAGAGCATAATTTACAAAGTAAAAGCGAAGAAGTAGAACAAGCAATGGCAACATTAGAAGAAACAAGGCTAAGAATGTTCGAATTGGAAGAAGTAGAACAAAATAGAAAGAAGATGGAGAGAAGTGAGAAACTTCTTAAAAGTAGCTTAATTGACCTAGAAGAGCAATTAAATGAGAAGACTAAGGTAAGATTTAAAGAAATGAAAAACTTGAAACACTTTTTAAATGATTCTAACTGTTAAATGTATTTTTTTTTTTTTTAGACAATCAAAGTCTTACAGCAACGATTAACAGACATGAAGAAGACTCTTCAACGAGAGTTGAGAGTTCCATCTTCGTCTTTAGATAGTGATGCTGAACTTTCTGCAGCAATTCTCAAGCCCAGTTCGTCGAAAACAGTCACTGCCAGGCACAACAATACGAGAGATGACGATGTTAACTTCAAATATCTCAAACACGTTCTCATAAAATTCCTAACAAGTAGAGAATATGAGGTAAATTTAATACATTAATTTTCCCGTATTATGCAAAACAAAAATATTAAAATAATTTATTTAAATTTGTACACATAAATTAAATTTATAGGACATGTGAGTTTTATTTATGTCATTAGTAATAGTATAGTGGAATTTATTTAAGCTGTTATTTTCTATTAATTTTTCGTTTGTCTTTTCAAGGCTCTTCACTTAACGAGAGCAGTTGCCACACTTCTACATTTTTCACCTGAAGAGGAACGGTTACTGCAAGAAACCTTAGAATGGAAAATGTCATGGTTTGGCACACGGCCTAATCTAGGTTTTGGACAAACTGCCAAAGCTATACCACCTAGCTGATAGTTGAAACAAATTTCCTTCCTAGAGATGTCATAAAATTAGCCACGTATTCGTGGTTCAAATCGAAAAATTGGATCGTGTCAATGATCAATTGTAAATGATCATGAAAACTCAAGGAAGAAACAAGGGGAAGAAACGATTTGTAAGCTAGAAATTTCATAAATTTTGTAAAATAATTAACATATTTATAATACGTGTATAAGTTATTGGCGAAAGCTACAAATATTGATCATAGCGAGCTTCAAAAACGCGCAGTAAAATGTGTACTCACACAGTCAAATGTTATTTAGACAAATTTGTAAGTTGAATATAGAGGAGTTCTAACATTCATTATATACATTGGTGGTAAAATTGAATTAGCAGAAAACACCTTTTTGTATGCAAATGCTAGAACACACACAATCATTCTTCAATATTTAATACAAAAGAATTATATTCAAATGCATTTCTGTATACGAACATATGGTAATACGAAACACTTATTATCAAATTGAACATTTAGTTTTTTATTTCCTGATACACATAAACTTTAAGTGTACAATATTTTTGTACCAAAAAATTATGTATTATGCATTTCTTCATCTTGTCTATCTCCTATACTAAATCAGTATAGGTTGAAATAAGTTAAGATAGTTCCAAGAACGAAACGGTTAAATCATCGTTGTATGATGTATACAACTTAGGATTGTTTAAAGGAATGTAATATTTTTTAGACATGGCTGCAGGACGGTTATAAATACTAGGACAAACTTGTGTTAGCTTCGTTAATTAGGAAGCTGGGTTTTATTGCCATAATTATTATTTGTGATATGAGCATGGTAGTCGTGCTATGTTCATGTATGTAAATAATACAATGATGTTTCTATAGACATAATTAAAGTACACGAAGTCAAATGCTTCTAAACCAAATTATTTATTTAGTTTCTCACCTATTATTCTATCGAATGGTTGTCACTTTTACCTGTTATTAATTTTTTTAACCTTATGAAATTATTTTAACAATAATAAAATTTATAACTAAGGGGAGGCTACCGACACAATACTGTACCTCATGTAGATAAATAAATGTACGCGATAAACTTATTTATCATATTCAGATTATTTGAGGGGATGAAGGTGTTTGTTTATTATCTACTTATTTATTACAAAATTGTGTAAATTTAAAACTGTACTTAGACTTGAATATTGTATGTTTTAGATTAATACGATTAATTCAATGATCTTTGATGCAACGCCGTTTTCATTTATTATAAAGTATTGCAATTCTTCTGTACTTTCAAAATTAATAAAGAAACATTATTTTAAATTTTGGGAGCTATGCGTTAATTTTATGACGCTAAAGGAATAAATCAAATTGTTATACATTAGATAAAGTGTAATCATTTATTTACAGTAGCCCATATTGATATTATATTGATTAATAATATACAAGTTGAAAATAATGTTTGATAAATAACAAAATTTCTAATTCCATAAAGTATATTTTAAGTGTTGTTTTTAATTTATAATCATTCAATAATAAATCATATCTAATGCATTCTAATTTCAAATCAGAATCTTTATAAACTATACAATTTCAAAATTCCTAGATTTAACATTATGTATATTAAATAAGAAGCGAAAGTTTGTAAAGTACATATTTTAAGTTTATTAATTGTCTATACAAATTTTAATGTGAGTATTATTTAAACACTTAAATGAGAATATTTATGATATTTTAAGTATCAAATTTTATCACATTCCATTACATACGGACAAATGGAAATCTGAAATTCTACTGAAATAAAGATTACTAGATGTAATGGTTGCTTTGTCATTAAATTTGCACCATTATTAAAATCAAGTATTTAGACAATGCAGTGCACTACTAAAATATATGTAAATACAAATTATTATTTTAAACATTTTAAAATGGAAGTGAAATTGTATTTGGTAAATGTTAATATTAATTCTTTTTAACAAATTTATATACATCTATTATTTCTTGATTATGGAGCTAATATGATAAATTGAGCTTATATTTAGTATTATATTTAATCACGGTACATATTTACATTCTTTAAATTCTATCAGTAATTTGATATAAAACGTAAATGGGACGAGTGCAAATCGGAGAAAGATATATGTAATAAATTTTTTAACGTTATACAGTGTGTGACAAGTTATGTATATTTAAACTAAATACTGCAGAAATATGTAATTTCTTTCGTTCTTAATTTTCAATAATCACAAATTGAATTGTCTACAGACCTGAGAAAGTTTCGTGTGCACCGTAAACAAGGTATCTTTCATGAAAAATTAGTGTTACGTGTTATTTATGATTTTATTCGTTGCTATCATCCTACCTACAATGCCAATCTGTCTTATACTACGGACCGTTTCATTCGATTAAAAATGTAAAGAGCATTTATAAAATATACAGGAACATGTCACCATATTTGTCTCGTTGATGACAGAAATGTAATTTTCTCTCGCTACGCAATAAGCTTCCTTTCTTTTTTTTTTTCTTTTCTTTTTTGTTAAGCTCTCGTAAAAATAACTTTTTCCTTTTTCTTTGTGAGTCCGAAAAACTTCCGTCTATGGTTCTATGGTCTCACATGTAAGACATTATTATATGAAGTCCTATGCGTTGTATCTACAAGACGCGTGCAGAAAGTCATGTTCATGTAGTAAAAAAAATTTATATACTCGTCTCTAACATTTACAAGTATTTTTGATGATTAAGAGTTACACGCGCGGTGTTTATGTGATGACTAGAACTTCTTCGATCCAGAAATGATCTCTTGATAAAGTTCCGGCGTGATCTCAACGTACTCTTTGTTACCGGATAAGAAGTACATTTTGTCTCGAACTTTGCTTGGATCGAAACCCTCCTTTTGAAGGTTTACCTTTTTCAATTTAAATGATCCCGTCATTTCCAGCTCTTTCACAATTCTCAGAAAGATCGGTCTCGCGTACGCTGGAAGTGCCTTTTCTAAACCTTCTGCAAGAGCTTTAAAGTCCAGAAGGCTGTCTGGATCGACTATCGCTGCCATTCCGGCTCTACCTTCCATCCCAGGTACCTTGAACGGTATAAAAATTATTTTTTTATAATTTTTGTTTGAAATTAAAAATGAAAATTCTAAGAATTTGATAATAAAATTTTAACTGATTTTAATTTGAATATCTAACTCTTCTTAGTGACAGTAAAAGAAAAATTACGCAGCACAACATTGATTATATTGGAAAATATTCGTAGTTAAAGATTCGATAA